TCTGATATTCCCCCTTTCTTCTTCCCTCTTCTTGTACCGCCTACCCTTGCCTAGCGTTAGCCCTCAAATGAATAACGGTCAATTAAAGCTGCATGACTGGGGCTGCCAGGCGTCTGCGCCACCATAATTAGGCCTAATCACGGGGAGAGAGAGAGAGAGAGAAAGAGGAGAGAGAGAGAAGAGAAGGAGTGTTTGTCTGACACTCCCCTCCACTCCCTTCCTTCATCTCTCCCTCTCTTCCTCTTTTTATAGGAGGCAATTTTGAGGGAGGAGTGGCAGACATTAGTCGTTTTGCTCTGGGGCCTTGTGTGTGTGTGTTGGGTGCTCCTACATGTGTTTGTGTGTACTTGTCTGTTTTTCTCTGTGTGGTTTTATTTTCTCTTTTTTTTTTGCACCATCTTTGCATTTTGTTGGCAAACCACTGACATGCTATAAAAAGATGAGGCAAAAAAAAAAAAAACTCAGAGACTGAAAATAGGCAGACTCACAAATGCAAGGTGGACTCATAATCAAGCAAAACTGTATCGCTGGATTCTCTCTTTCAGCCTGTGTGTCTCCTGCCTGCAGTGAGGCCAGGGGCTCCTGGGGAATTCACTGGTGTGTGGCGACCTGTCAGAGTGGCGACAGCGGCCCCGTCCCACAGCAGCCCAGGCAGTGTGTGTGTGTGCATAAGTGCGTCTGTGTAAGTGTGTGTGACAGGGCTGCCCTTAATGACTGGAGCGTGGGGGGATTAGGAGCGCCGCGCGGCCGCCTTCGGCTCCTTCTCCGCAGGAACACATTTACACAGGAAGCTCATTAAAATGGATGAGGCTCCCTCCACGCTTGCGCTCTCTCTCCCTCTCCCACCCTCCCCTTATCTCACACTCTCCCGATCTCCTCACTCCCTATTTTTGTTCATCTCTCTCTCTCGCTCTCTCTGTTACTCCGTCATCTCGCCATCTCCCATCTCCTCTCTTCCTTTTTTGCTTCCCTTTCTTCATTCCCGCTTTATGCTCCAATGTCCCCCCCCCACACGCACACACTCTCTTTACTTGTCTCTACCCCTCCCCTATTTGCCTTGCAGATGCTTGGTGAGCTTAGTGCCATTTAAGGCCAGACAAATGGAACGCCAGGCTCTAAGCCCATCGAGCGGCCCTAATGATTTGTTTTTAACAATGGGCCCTAATGGGCCCCAGGTAATCAATGATGAGGGGTCGATGGAAAGGTGAGCCACGGAGAGAGTTAGGGAGGAAGAGAGGGGAGCGCTTCCATCTCTAACTCACTCCCTCAGCCTTCATTCTTCATTTTATTGCTGTTATTATTTTTTTTTTTTCAATATACCAATTATATCTCCATTTTAATTTTCTCCTCACTTTTGCACTCATTCTCTCTGCCCCCCTCTTCTTTTTACTAGTTCTGTTTATTATATGGGGATTTGGTACAACCTTGCCTTTAGGTTTTAGAATTGGTCCATTTAGGGCTGTGCGATATGACCAAAATCTCATATCTCGATATAAGACTTCTATTGTCCGATAACGATATAAATCACAAAAAT